ACTAGCAGTCCTTTTTATAGTCTGGAGAGGAGCCTAATTACCACCAGCTGGGTGCAATTACCTCCTGTACTTGCGCAACTCTTCCTGACGCCTATTAGCTCTTTGGTGCCGGGCATCTAGGAACAACTCACTGCTGACGTCAGGAGCACACTCCCTTGTCTCTTCCCTACTGGTCCAAGTCTCAGGCGCCTTCTGGTGGCCAACCAACCTCTCTGCGCCCTGCTCGGAGTCGGAACCCTGTCCAGGGTCCTCCACATTTTCCAGAGCCGACTCATAGGGCCCCTCGCTGTCGGAGTCTGTTTGCAGCTCCAACGGCTCCTGCTGGGCCGCCACAGCCCCTTTACGACTTGTGGACTTCAACTCCCAGAATTCCTGAGCCCTGCTGGCTCAAGAATTCTGGGAGTTGAAGTCCACAGGTCGTAAAATGACCATAGTTCCCCACCCATGCTTTACATTTTTTCACTTGTTCCCATTACATAAGATCATTCAAATCCCTCCATTAATCTCAGCGGTCTTTTCCTGGGATGAGCTAACGTCTCTTAGCCCTTTGGTCCTGGGATTTTATAGGCGAGCCCAAACGTCCACAGAAAACAGCTACTGTATGATGCTTTAAGGACTGGAGAGGTGAATGCTGCCTGGACTGCTCGCAGTATGTGCTGGGGGGGAAAGGCAAGGCAACAGAGCACTCATGCCTGGGCCCAGTCTGCTTGCTGAACCTATGCAGTTAACATGCAACATTCCTGGATTTCTGACTCAATTTCTCATCCTTTGCTTCAGCCCAACCATACGTTGCTCTAGACTGGGATTCTGAAATGAAGAAGCGCTACTACAATGACATTGAGGCCGAAGTGAGTGTGAACTTTCTTAAGTAGGGAACCCTCTCTTCTCTGTTTTTCCTGTAGCATTGTGCTCGAGTTCTGCAACCTGGACTATTGTGGTGGTGAAATCTAGCTTCACGCGTAGACTGAACTACAGATCTCACCGGGAGATCTTAGGCTAGGCACCCTTTATCAGTCTTACAGAGTTGTGTGGATAATAAAGTAACACCTAATGTATGGTGGCTCAGTGGTTAAGATGCTGAGTTTGTCGATCAGAAAGTTCGGCAGTTCGAATCCCTAGTGCGGCGTAATGGAGTGAGCTCCCGTTACTTGTCCCAGCTTCTGCCAACCTAGCAGTTCGAAAGCATGTAAAAATGCAAGTAGAAAAAATGGGGACCACTTTGGTAGGAAGGTAACATAAGCCTTTGGCGTTTAGTCATGCTGGTCACATGACCACGGAGTCGTCCTCGGACAGCGCTGGCTCTTTGGCTTTGAAACGGAGATGAGCACCGCCCCCTAGAGTCGGGAACAACTAGCAAATATGTGTGAGGGGAACCTTTATCTTTACCTTTAACGTATGACATCTTGGACTCTCAAAACTTTTTCTCAGATATAAATGTGACAACGACCTTGCTCTTCCTTTCTGTCTTGGGGGAGAAGTTAGCCTCTGATCACTTTATCCATCATGTATGGATGTTCTTCCCTTTAGGGCTATGACAAACATGACTGTATGGGCTACACGCTGAAGAAGGATCCCATTAAGCTGCAGGAGTGCATTGAATTGTTCACTACCATGGAAACACTGGAGGAGGAAAATCCCTGGTGAGAATTGAAAACCTGTGTATGATAGAGGCTCTTTCATTGAGGTAGCAGGGGAGGGTGTGAGGTGATTGGATGCTGACTTAGTGCTGGTCAACACTTCTAAATTCAGTAGATAAAGATAACAAAACAAGAATGCTACATGAGCCAAAGAAATCCACGTGGGTCTTATTTCATAATAATCCAAATTAAGTAGAAGATCCAACAGATTTTGGAATATATGATAAGCTCTCATTGGATCATTCCATGCTAAAACCTTCCTCTCAAGATTGGGGAGAGGGAAAGGAGGCAATTTGTGGAATGCTTAATTCTCTTAATTCTCAACTTGTTTGTTTCAGGTATTGTCCCACCTGCAAAAAACACCAACTTGCCACCAAGAAGCTGGATTTATGGTCACTACCGGAGATTCTGATTATTCACCTCAAGCGTTTCTCTTATACCAAATTATCCCGGGAGAAACTTGATACCCTCGTGGAATTCCCTATCCAGTAAGCCAGGGGATCTAGTCATTAATTTTTGTTACCAGGAGTGAAATGGGTGGGTGATGTATGTATGTGGCTACCTTTGGATAGCATAGATCATGGAAAAGGCAACCGAGGAACGCTCATACTTTCGTCTGAGGAAACAGATGAGTGATAATTTATGGCCTCTGAAATTGTGAAAGGTGATTGAAAGCCTTCATCATCTACTTTGGAGGCCATCAAAAACCTGAATTGACTTTGTGTGAATGGTGTTGGTGAAACTAGATTTATCTATATTCTCCTTTCTATTATCTTATTCCTTTTTTTTTGGCTTGCTACTTACTTCTTTCCTGCACTCTCTTACACCTCTACACCATAAAGGGAATAATAGCATGGGTATGTACTGTATGTATGTTACATCAATAAGAAGTCTCAGTAATCATCTAAGCTCCCATCACCATGACACCCTGTCATAGTTGATTCTGCTGCTAAAGGATTTTCAAAGGTAGCTCCAGTGCTATTGAAGATTTAGAAACAGGGCATGCTGGCCTCTCACAAATGGGGTGAGATTCTCTGTCCCTGTTTTAAGGTTCTCTGCAGAAAAATACTTTCTTTGTGTAATACCAGTTCATTGAAAAATCTGGGGGAAATGCAGCACGGCTTTCTTTCTGCCGAAGCCGTCAGCTCTCTCTGGTTACATTTGATAAAGCACCGAGGTGGCACAGTGGTTAGGGTGCAGTACTGCAGGTCACTTCAGCTGACTGTTATCTGCACTTTGGCGGTTCAAATCTCACCGGCTCA